GATAACTACTGAGGAATTGTCGGGAGCCGAAGAAACACTCCTCTGGACAGTCAAAGGAGAGTGGTAAACCAAGGTTGTCTCGGCCACCACTGAGTTATTAATATCCCTGTGGCGTTGTCTTGGACTATGTTCGATGTAACTTTCGTTAGAAGTGGGATCAGAGGAAAAGCATAAAAAGTCATACTGTCCCAAGGGATCATGAGGGCAAGAGTTCGAGGAAGTTGATATGCTTCGTTGTTTCCTGTCGGTTCCAAGTCCCTTGGACCCGAAGTCCTGCACATACTGCACCCCATCTGACTAGTGAAGCATCAGTGTACATGGTTGTTGTTGGCTGAGGTGGCTGGAACAGAATGCCAACAGACAGGTTGTCTGGAATAGTCCACCAAGTCATAGTACGTAGGATCGACAGCGGGATCTGGATCAGCTTGGTGGGTGGATCCCATTGCGGATGAAATGATCTGTTGAAAAACAGCTGTAAGGGCTGTAGTCGTAGTCTGGCGTATGGGACAATGGCAACTGTAGCAGCCATGTATTCCAAGAGTCTCTGGATGGTTATGGCTGGTACCGTTCCATGTAGTCGAATTCAATGAATATGGTCGCAGAGAGTGTTTCGACGGTTCAGAGGAAGAAAAGCTCTCCCCTGAGTAGAATTGATGCCTGCTCCGATGAAATCGATGACCTGCGTGGGAATAAGGGATGATTTCTCGCGGTTAATGCAAAGTCCGAGATCGTCAAGTAAAGCACAAGTCTCGTGTACAGCTGAGAGAAGGTCTTGTCTAATCTGTGACACAATGAGCCAATCATCCAAATATGGGTATATTTGAATGCCCTGAGTCCGTAAGTATGCGCACACCAGAGCCATATACTTCATAAAGACTCTGAGGGCAGTAGCCAGGCCGAAAGGCAAAACAGTGAATTCGAATATATCGGATCCGACAGTGAAACATAGAAAGCGCCTGTGAGAAGGATGGATGGAAATGTGGAAGTAAGCATCCTTCAAGTCCAGTGAGGCGAACCAATCCTCTCTCCTCAGCAACGGAAAGATATTTTGTAAAGTGGTCATCCAAAACTTTTTTGGCTTGATGTACCTAAAAGGGAGAGGGGAAGGTGGGGAGTGGAGAGACAGAATGATCTGCCCAGACCGTCAACATTGGCGCTTCTTGGTATCGAAACGTCAACGGCCCTGGGAGAAGCATTGTTGTGGCTGCTGTCTTCGACGCTGTTGCCTCTGCTGGTACTGCTGTCAAGGCTGATATTGCTGGCAGTAGGAGGATCAAGGCCATTGCCACTTACATTTCTGCTGAGGAAGCTCCATGTGGCGTGCTGTCATTCCCGATTCGTGGATCGACTTCAGCTTATGGTTGGTCTTCTAGTGGAAAAGTCCGGTGCCCTCAAACGGCATTTCCTCGATCCTCCTCTTCATTTCCTCAGGGAAATTACAATTACGTAGCCACACGTGGCGCCGCAGGGAAATGGTATTGACGAGGGCCCTTGAATCAGTGTCCACATGATGCCTGGCAGTGGAGAGCTGTTGTATCGCCACCTGCATAGCCTCCTTTATAAAGACCCTGGCTAAGTCCGCTTGATGGTCCGGAAGGGAGGAGGCGATGTTATCCAGCTTTTGCATTATGAAGTACTGGTAACGTGCCAACATTGCTTCATAATTCAATATGCAAAGGCCAAGCCCAGAGGCCACATAGACTCGGCGCACGAGCATATCGATTTTCCTCCCTTCCTTGTCATGAGGGGCCGTGTGACCCCTCGACTCCCTGCCCTGGGAGGACTCAACCACCACCGAGTTCGGCTTTGGGTGACGGAGCAGGAATGGGATATCTTCCTCTCAAACCCGGTACATGGCTTCGTACCAACGAGATGTAGCCTGTGGTTGAGCCGGTTGGTCCCAGGGCTGGACCATAGCCTGGTGAAGTGTCGTGATGAGTGGGAGTGCTATGGCTGCAGACTGCTCTCCCCTGACGATGTCGTAAAAGCGATCGGTACTGGGACCGGGGCGATGATGGGCCTCGATCTCCAGAGACCGAATGAGGCGGGAGATGAGCTCCGTAAAGGTGACATGTAGTTTGTCAGGGGATCCAGGGCCTTGGGAGGTGATGGCCACAGGAGACGTGGAATCGACCTCCGACTCATCCGAGTCTTCATGGTAGCGATAATGGTCGCTAGAAGAGGAGGTTTCCGGAGAGGTTGGTCGTCCTCTCTCCACATGCCTCAAGGTGGATGGGGCCTCCTTTGGGACCAATGGTGACTGATGGTCCCGTGAGTAAAAGGCATACGGTTGGTATTCGCCCCAAACGGGGAAACCACCATAGCCAGGCATTGGCCAGTCGTCATCTCGGCGCTCAGACGAGTGGCTTCGGCGTCTGGGTGGCGATGGTGAATCTGCAGGTGGCTCAGCTGTGGGCATCGGAGTCGGAGAGTGTTCCCTCGGTGGGAGTCTCTGATCTCTCCATCAGAAATGGACTCCCTAAGCGGCTCCTCCGGCTGCTGAGGAGGTACGCTCTCAGGCCGAGCAGATTGCCTGGGGGATCCCGGCAGAGTCACCTGCATCGCGGATTGCAGGGCCGGTCCTGAGGGAGTCAGTACCGCAGCAGTGGTCGGTACTCAGCAGCCCGATGAACCCGAACCACGATGTTTGGGGTGGTCAGGTTTTTTGCCTTTGCGAGCTGGCTTGTCTGCCTTTCTCAGCTTCTTGTGCACAGAGGGCTTATCTGAGCTGGTATGCTTATGCTTCTCCCGTTTCTTGGTTGCAGGAGAAGGTAGCTGCTGGGCCTCCATAGAAGTGGCACCTTCGTCCAAAGGACGCTGTGGAGGAGTGGCAGAAGCTGGAGCAGGGCGCTTTGAGGGTACGCGAGCGGTAGAGGCAGAGCAGTGAGAGGGCGCAGCTCCGCATAGGAGCTTGCAGAGACTATTCTCCCTGTTTTTCCTAGCTTGCTTGGTAAACACCAAGCAGTGGCCGCATATGTCAGTTCTATGCCCCCCGCCAAGGCAGAGAAGGCATAGGTCATGTGGGTCCGCGGGCTACATTTTGGAACCACACTCAATGTATTTGCAGAATGTCGCTCGCTGCGCCTTCACAAAATAGAAAAGAGAAGACAGTGCAGCGGGTAAGATAATATTTTGGGGGTTTTTTTATAGGAACAAAAGGTTTGAAGAAAAATGGGTTAAGAGAAAAAACTTGGAGTATAAGAAGATAGCGAGAAGATATATGAAAAAACTGTAGAAACGAACAGTGAACACGAGGATCTAAGCGAGAGACAAACAGGCACGAGGCACAGTGAATGGCGGTCGCAAAGACTGAGTAAAATGGCGGACACTCCTCCCTATTTATACCACTGAGCGGGAGGGGAGCGGAGTTTTCCCGCCAATAACCATTAGCTTTCTAATCTTCCGACCTAGGCACTGTGCAGGCTCAGCACCCATATGTGTGATGCACAGAGGCCACAACGAAGAACCTTATTTATGTTTCCGAAACTACTAAACACAAAGTTATTTAAATGACTTCAGCTGTTATCTCTTTCTATTAACTCCTGTGTTAACATACTTAATTTATAACAAAAGTGGTAAAGTTTTTAAACCAGTTGGGAAAAGCAAAGCTATTCTAGGAACTACCTGACATATAGGCCAATCCAGTCTTCAGTACTCAATATATGCTTTAGCATATGGATACTAAACTACTTTGCCCAAAATAAAAAATAAAATATCTAACAATCATAAAGCACAGCTAAATGTATGAATTCCAGCAAAATTTCACATCAATAACTGTCTAGAATAAAGGCCTGTATACAGACTTTTTCCCAGAAACTCTGAATATCTGTTTTTGGTTCTTTAGCAGAAACTGAGCAAAAGTTTGAAGTGTGTGATTGTTAAATAAGCTGAAACTGAACAGCTTTGAGTACCTAATAATTGGTAATCTATATTAAGAGCCTGAAACCAAATACTACTAGATCAAAATACGTACAAAACAAATGCTTATGTAGAATTCAAGTAATATTAATAAAATTAACTCCACAGGGATACATATACTACAGTAAGCAAACATTTATCTAGAAACATGGTCAAAACAGATAAAGCTACTAAGCTTCTTCAATCCTACTTCAGAAATAATTTAAACTTTCAAGATTTTACATCCCACGTGTAGCTGTTTAGACCCTTTGATCATCTTTTGAGCTTTCCTCTAGGTGCCCCCACAGGTGGCTACAAGACACAGCATCATCTCAGTTATGGTACCCTGTTTATGGAATGCTTTATGCAAGCAGCTTCTTACTCACTTGGTACCTACATTATTATCTATCATGTGGAATAAGTTGAATTCTTCCATACGTATTAGAAGTGTAGAGGCTTTTCAATTTTACAGCTGTTTATTTTATTCCTATGCAGTTTGTTCTTTTGTATTGTTTTCTTTTAGCATTTTTAATTTGTTCATAGAACATTTATTATTAAGTGATTTTAAAATCTACCAAGAAGTTAGGGATGATATGATGGCACATAACAACATCAGATTTTAAAAAAATGAAACCATAGTATATGTTGTTATGGATTTCAGAGCTGATCTTTATGTCCTTGTTCCCAAGATACATATTTCAGTCTTGAAGTGGGATTACCACACATCTTCTCAGGAGAAGGATATTTAAAAACCCTGAACTGCACTGTAATATTTTTGCTATTCATATGGCATTGTTGCTAATAGCCTTCCATTATTCATACAAGTATTAGAAAGGACTAAGTTATCCAAAATATCACACAATAAAGAAATGACAACGTGGGCAGATAAACTGAATGTAGGAGGGCATCACTAAAACGTGTAGTGTATATGAAGTAGCTAGCAGTGGAAAACAGCATCCAGGTTATTGAATTTATTGAATTCACCCATACAATTTTCATATCTTGTAATTCATACTAGGTGTCCCTCAAAGATAGAACCTCAATTATTGGGTTTTAGCCATATACACATAAAATTTAAAAAATAGATCTGTAAAGGTACTTACTTTAATAATGGATGGCATTTTAGAATTAAGATTATCATAAGTAAAGTGTAGGCGGGTTCTGAAGGAACACTTGTAAAGCAGTGGATCCTGATAAAACTCAATTTTGCCACTAGCATTCCTCTTGTCCAGGCAAACTGTACAGTCAGAAAAATTTATCACCTTCCTTAGTACCAAATCAGTGGCTTTGAAAAGGAAGAAAAGCATTGCTTAGTTTTTAACAAATTAAAGTAACTATTAGATAGACATTCATATTCTTTTAACACTATCTTCATTTTTAATTAATTTTTATTTAAAATTATCTTTAGATGGGCTTTAAAAATAAAAATCTCTTAAGGACTCACAGGATAGAATGAATATATATATATATATATATATATATATATATATATATATATATGAATGAGAGAGAGAGAGAATCATTTCCATATATATGGCAATAAATATACATGAAAATAGTATAAGAACAGTTGCACGAATTATAGCTGTAGCCCACAAATTATGCAAAAACTGGCCAAACAGGTGGGTCTTCAGAGCTTCCCTGAAGACCAGAAAAGACCAGAAATCACTAATAGCATCTAATTGCAGAGATGTAGGGCCACCACTGAAAAGTCTGTGCTTTCACACTACCATAACCACTCCTCCTGGTGGTGCACAAGTGAAGAGGGTTTACACTGATAACCTCAGAGTGCTGGCTTTGTCCCAAACCATTTAAAGCTTTAAAAGTTAAGACCAGCACCATAAGTTTGGCTAAGAAACACACTGGTAACCAATATAGCTGGCACAGTATCAGTATTATTTGAACTGGTCCCTCTGTCATCCAAGTAGCTGCATTCTGCACTAAATATTTAGTATCTATCAACTGAAACCTTTTAAAGGAGGGGTCCCCAAACCCTGAGTCAGGGACCAGTACCAGACCATTTCTGTTAGGAAATGGGCCACACAGCAGAAAGTGAGTAGCAGGCAAGCAAGCAAAGCTTCATCTGTACTTGCAGCTGCCCCCCAGCGCTAGCATCACCACTGGGGAGCAGCTGCAAATACAGATTATCATTAGGGACCTTTTGGGTCTTGGGGCTTGAAAGGAGGAGGGAGCGGTCGCAGCAGTGGTAGAGGCAGAGCCAGGCAGCAAGTGGCACAGAGAAGCCAGAAGGGTGTATACGAGTGGCGAGGGAAACGGGAAGCAAGTAAGGACTGGGCTGCAGGTTAGGGGGAGGCGGAGCAGGTGAGGCATGAGGAGGCTGAGCAGACGTGAAGTGGTGTGCATGTGACAAAGCACAAGGGAGTGGGGAGAGTTGCCAGCAGGCTACAAGGCCTATTTGAGGCCCCATGCCACAGTTGCAAGGCCCTTTTGGGTACTGGGCCTCTAGCTTTATGGTGAATTGTATCATTATTCAATTATATTACAATGTCCTTGTCCTTATATTACAAGGACATGGAATAATCAATTCAAGTTATGACAATCCAGATTCAGGCTGGATATCAGGAAAAGCTACCTCACTGTCAGAGCAATGCAACAGTGAAACTAGCTGCCTGGAGAGGTGGTGGGTTCTCCAACACTAGAGACATTCAAAAAGAAACTGGACAGCCATATGAGTGGGATGGTGTAACATGGTCTCCTGCCCCTTCGATTTCTACTATTCTATGATTCTGTGTAATAATACTAGAAATAAAGTGCACAATAAATGTAATGTGCTTGAATCATCCTGAAACCAACCCCACAACCCAATCCGTGGAAAAAAATGTCTTCCATGAAACCAGTCCCTGGTGCCAAAAATGCTGGGGACTGCTGTTTTAAAGGACCATAAAACAATTAATATAACTGAAACTGATACATGCCACATTGGATAGACCGCATTAGTGAAAAAGTATCAAATCTATCTTGCTGCTTGCTATCTCCTCCAAAAGATCAGGGCAGCATCTGGAAAGCACAAGGCCTCCGTGGTCATTCTCAGGACACAATGACCTAGTTTGCACATCACACTAAGCCATTGGTTTTTGCCCTACCCAGGGTTAATTTGGTAATAAATCAAACAAAAGTGTTTTCCCCCTTAAATCCTGGAATGTTTTTCCCCTTAAATTCTCCAATTTCAACTACTGAAGTACTAGCACCTAAAGCAGTTTTTAAAAAAAGCTAGCTCACTGCTTCTGTCACCTTCTAAAACAACCCACAAACAATCCATGGTTATGTGTTCACACCTAACGTTAACTTATTTATGGTTTAAACAATTTTTAGTCTACAACCATGGAAATTAATTAATCATTAATTGTTTGTGATTAATAAGTCATAGTTTGGTAGCACACCCACACTGAGACATCATAGAATCCAGAATTGAAAAAACCATACTATTGGATAAAATTATGTGTAAACCAAGCCATAGAGAAAAAAACTCAAAGATTAATCTTAGCTTTAAATTTTGGGCAACCCTAGGAAATGGATCAATTTGTGCTTCCCTGGTCAGCCTACCCTCTTCTATTACTCTTAGGCTGCTTTTAGAACATTGTTTTTAAAATTATGGGCATTATTTAGAGATTCACTTGGCTGCTTACCAGATATGTCCATGAATGCTCGATCCCAAAATTCATCCACTGTGTAGCATTCTGCTGAAGTTATATTGACTGAAAGAACAATATCATCCTCCACATATTTGAGTATGAGATTATTGATGACAATGTTAACATTGTTTATAACCCTCCAAATCAAACTCTGTACATAACCTGAAAGAAAAACATGGATTTCTTAAATGACTTGGCTGGGAGCTCCAACAGCAAGTTGCCAAACTTAGAAATAAGTTTAATAAATTTGCCAGTCTAAAATATTTTAAAGATTTAAAGAAAACAAAAACATCAGGTTTCTAGTCTTAAGTATAACAATAAAAAAAAAAGCTTAAAAAATACTGAATAATCCAGGGATCCAAAAACCCTGGGCCGCAGACCGGTACTTGTCTGTGGCCTGTTAGGAACCAGGCCGTGCAGCAGGATCTAACTTCGAACGATCCAGAGTTCAAACGCTAGAGTTGAGCTCCAATAGCTCCACAGTTTGAAAAATGCTTCTAAGTTCAAACTGTAAGCAAAGTGAAAAAAATGTGGTCACAGGAAAAACGTCATCGGTTGTGTACCCAAATTGAAAAAAATACAGAGGGTGCCAAAAACAATGTATACACATTTTAAGAGATGTTATCTATGCATTACTTTTTGAAGCTGAATTGAATCATGGTAGCAATGTATAGTATGACATTTGCTCAAAAGATGGTGTTAATCAAATGAATGCTGGCATCATCATGCAACAGTTTTTAATCATTTTTTCTTTTCTTAAAATGTGTCTACCCAAAAACCACTACTTCAGGACTATAGGTCCTTTAAGATAGCCAGGATACAAGCTGCCTATAGCCTAATATAGTAACTGAATGGCAGTCCTCACTTCTGGGAAGTATCAGTTTGACCATGAACCATGTTCATTTTCATTCCCCACTTATCAGTGTAGCTAGAAATTGCATACAGAAACAGATTTTGTTCCAATGTTTTCCTCAGACCGAAATTTGCAACAATTTTGTGCTTCAGGTCTGGTAACTAGGTATTTAACACCCATCTTCATATAAATGCCTAACAGGGAAGGATTGAGACCTTCAGTATAGATGATGTTTTAGATGAATAAATGAATGAACAAACAAACGAATGTTGGCTTCTATAGTCCTCCACTATCTTTAAAAAACTTTCTACACTACCATTCATTCAAACAGCTTGGCGTTGCATCTTTTCCTAAAAATGGTTACAGAGTTTGAGATAATATAAGTCTCCCCATCCCTCTTATTAATTGCCAAACTATACAATTTATAACAAGTTACCAGGTGGCAAATCAGGGTCAGGAGTAGTCTGTTGAATTCTTTTTGGTTTCACTGCTGTTTTTGCACTTTCTGTGGTACTACGGTTGGTTGAACTTGAGCCACAGCTTTCATGATCATCCTGTAAAACAGTGCAGATGGTTCATCTTTAATCAGTGAAGACAAAACTATACATACAAGTTAACATCAGATTTTACCATTGCATTTTATTTTTTCTGTAATGGTTGGGACTAGTGAACAAACACAGAAGCAGATTTAAAGAACTGCATAAATTTAAATTAACTGTGCATTAAAAGGGAATGATGTTTGGGTTTGTCAAACCAGTGTCTCCACAGTCCTGACCCTTATTTATCTTATCTCTGCTCACTGCAATAAGAAGCAATATTAAAACTATATAATATCTCTTGGATATTGCATCTGCACCAGGTATAAACAACCTGGTGTCCTCCGGATATTTTCAACTCCCACAATTCCTGACCATCAGACATGCTAGTTTGGGCTGATGGAAGATGTGCTTTAAAACATATGGAAGACACCAGGTTGCCTAAACTGGGATTTATACCGTGCATGCAGTAAGAAATTCCTTTCGTCATAATTAAATACTAAATGTACACAATGAAGTTTGATACTTTCATATCTGTTTGAGCAATCTGTATTTGCAGAAATGAAAAGAGGTCCCTATATATTTAAACAAGTGAGTAGTATGAAATATGCAATGTAATACAATATATTTATTCTCACCAACAAGACAATTTTACAAATATTCATTCCCCTTAAAGACTATATAAACAATAAACAAGTTACATAAAAGATTAGCTTTCAATTGTTTAAAATAATAAATCTAAACAGTTAATGATACTTTTGTAAAACAGAATTTGGACCCTAATTATTAGAAAACAACTCGTGTGGCCAAAACTTTATAAGAACTATGTTTCTATTTAGACCTTTTCATGTCTAAGAAATCTGAAGTCATACTTATTTCTGTTCAATGTTAACTTTGAAAACACACAATTAATTTTTGAAACATATGTGGCTGATCACAAGCCCAGAAATAAAACATGTTCATTAAAAGAGATGTGAAAAAGTTCCAAGTTAACTGCCAAAACTAGCATAATTATGAAAATATTTAACACTGGAACCAACTGAAATCACATACTGCATAGAGATTACACTGATGTCATGACAAACTTCCCAGCCAAAGTGCACTAAAACTACTATACTCTAATAAATCTAGGTCACACCATATGACAAACATTTAAACTTTAAGTAATGCAAATGATATTTTTCCATTTCAAAAGCCATTTATTAGTTTGAATTCTAATAGACAATTTATTAACAGGTTTTCAATAATTGTTACAAATATTCCAAACCAATTATGATTTAGGTGCCTAAAACTGAAAGAAGTCTGAAGAATTTTTGCTATAATAGTTTCATAATACAGCTCTGTCACAGTGAGGTATTGACACATTATCCTGAAATTATGATACCATGATGTAATAGCTTTCAAAAATAGTCTTAACATTTATCTATTAAAAGACTTTTTGCTTTGAAGCTTCTGATTCTGTCATCTGGCTAGGGGTGGCTATTAAGTAAAAGAAAAGCTTTTTCTCTATAAAACTATTCTTAAATGTGCAGGGGAGATAAAGGAAATGTCACTGCTTCCAAGTACTAAACAAAAAAGCTGTTTTCTGATGCTAATGATGTTACTTTTACCTAGTTACACTCTAATACATAAACTATATGCACACATAGGTAGAGAAGAAGTGGGAGATAATATTTGTACCGCAAAAGTCTACAGCGACACTGAAAAGAAATTGGGGTTTACAAGGTGATTAGATGGGAATATTTCATGTAATATATCGTTCCCTTGCACATGCTGCAGGAAGCTTGGATCACTAAGGTGAGGAAGGGGGTGGGTGGTACTGGGTGGCTAAGCATGCAGCAGTGAAGTTTAATGGAAGCTGCTACCTCTTCACTTCTGGTCACCTCTAAGGTAAGTGGAAGATAATCTGTGTTGCTAGAAAACAAAGCTGAGATGGAGTCAGGCAGAAGGCTTCCAACAGAAAGGACATTTCTTTGGGAGCAGTAGGGAGAAAGGGGTTCACAAGTCTTCTAATGGTAGGTATTAGAGAAAAATCTTTACAATTGTTTTTTGTACAGGGGCCTGCCAGAGTGACTAAAAATTTCAAAGGATGTCAGCATTTGCACTTCCTGCCCCAGTTGGTAAGAGAAATGGCAATGCCATGGCACTTGCAAGGAACTGGGCACTACGAAGGAGTTTGGTATGGCAACAATGCATTTACAAAGGGGGTTGGTGATCCAGCCGTTGCTCTGTTCTCTCTATGTAACAGTGAGGTGCAGAGGGCCATCTACTTGATTGCAGCTCGGCACCTCTCTGGCCCCTCACAGTCTACTCTCCTTCTTGCTGTACTGGCAAGCTGTGGTTAATGAAACAGGCAGAAACTTGATTAGTGTTGTGGCCTGTCTTTTCTCCCCTCCTTCCAAGCAGATCAGGTCAAATGGCTCTTTCTTTTCTTAAAGATGATCAACAAGGCTGCCTTACTGATACAAAAGAAGTGTTTGCAGTAGTCAGTAAAGTAGGGTTGCTTTCCAGTAACTGCCATTCTTTGAGTGCTCATCTGTGCATAATACATATGGGCTCTTTGCCTGCATGGAACCTGTTTCTGGAAGATTCTATAGTTAGGATTTGTTTGGTGGGAAGCCCTCCCCTGGCCCTACTCTGATGTGAGGGGGGAGTTCCTGCCTAATCATTAGTTTGCCTGACATGGGACTGGCATTGTGGCCCCATGTCAAGGAACAAGGAGGCCCATGGACCCACTCAAACCCAGCTAAAGGGTGGGTTGTGTGAATACACAGGTGACAACTTGAAGAATGACAGCTACAGGTAAGCAACCCTACTTTCTTCTTCACGATCTCTGTGTATCACATATATGGATGACTGGTGAGCTCAACCTTTGGAGGAGGGCAGTGTCAGTACCACAGAATTGATTATAGAACTGCTCTGCCAAAGCTGCTGTCTGTTCTGAGACAATGCACTGAGACAATAATGTTCCAGGAAGGTCAACAGATTTGAACAGATGGCCACCCTGCAGAGGTTGGGCAGAGGTATGCCAGTGTGGAACACTGTGAAGGTCACTGTTACTCACATTGAGTGGGCCCATGACAGTCCAGAGGGCCAAAGATCAAAAAGCTCACAGGCCAAAGAGATGGTTTGTATGAGCTGCCAGCTGTTGCGAAAATACTGGAATACGTAGCTCCTGCCACTGTAGCATATGAATATTCTCTAGGAGAAGCAATAGGCCTGTAGAAGGTTAGGGCACTTCAAATGTCAAGGGAGTGCAGTGCTGTTTCAACTGGACTCAACAGGGAGGTGAAGGAGGCTGGTAGAACGACGTCCTCATTCAGTGTAAGACAGAGCCCACCTTGGAAAGGAAGAAAGGGGTTTGGCCAGACTACTGTTTTATCCTTGCAGAAGGTAAGGTATGGTGGGCCCTCTTTCCAAGAGAGCACGTATAGGTCTGTTGTTGTCATGGGTTCAAAGGACTTCTTTGTGAAAGCTTGGAGGATGATCCAAGGCCAGTGTCAGTGGTTGGATCAGTGAGGTAAAATTCTTGACACCCCAGACAAACTGGCAACTGAGGGGCTGAGAAAAGGTGGTGAGTCCCTGAGTCGAGGTATTGAAGGGTGAGATCACAGCCACATAGACATGGTCTTGAGACTATGTTGGAACAGAGTTCAGGAAGAGAAGTATTTGCCATACTGGACAGCTGAGCAGTTCAAATCTGTGCTGTTCAGCAAAGCTGAAGAAGGCCTTCCACATGGTATGGTAGGAACACTTTGTGGTGGGTTTCAGTGCTGCATCCAGTATGCACTGAAGGCATACCATTGACCAAGTTGCCTGTGTTTGAAACAGAAGCTAGATTCTCCAGACTGTGAGGCAGAGCATGTGGACTTTTGGATGGAGGACCTTCCCCTTGATCCCAAGAGATTATGTCAGGTTTGAGTGGGAGAAGGAGACATCTGTGGCTATCATGAGACACAGCCCAGGAATGAAGGGGATCCTTTTGAAAAGATTGTGGCATCTGGTCCACCACCAGAAACTTAGAAACATAGAAACAGAGTGAGTCAGAAGGAGCTTGCCAGGCCATCTAGTCTAACCCCCAGTTCCAGTCAGCTCCACTCATGACAGGCTTACCCTAACCCTCAGCCTGGTTCTTTGTGGGTTGATGGTCAGATCAAAGGAGGTGATGAACCAAATTTGGAGGGTGTGCATGTGGAGTCTGGCCAGTGGGACAACTGTAGCTTGGCTTCCCTGAGGCTGAGAACTTTCTGGCCCCATGAATCAGTGGTGGTCAGGCAGATGAGGAATTGGTATACCTCTTCCATCAGGATAGACACTCTGGTGTTGGATAGGTAAGCGCTTGCTGAGATGGAGAACAGGTGAGAGGGTCAACTCAGAGGGGAGTAAGATTTTTCTAGGTTTATGCAGAGTCCCAAGCAAGATGTCAGGTTTCATGCAGTGTCAGTGTCATGTGCTGAGGCCCATCCTGGATGGGGCAGCAATCAACCAATCATCTAGGTACAGGTAAACTTGGTCTCCATGAAAGCGGAGGTGAGCACATACTACATTCATTTTGTGAGTGCCCAGAGACCAAAGAGGAGGACCTTGGCCTTGAAGGTCTCATCCCCAATGGAAAATGGAGGGAGCACTTGTAGGAGTCCTTGATGCAGATGTGAAAGTAGGCATCCATGGCTTCAAAAATTTCAAAATATTACATGTGTAATCACAGTGTAAAATAAATTTTTAGGGGTGGGATGGGAGGCAGAAGATAGAAATATACCTGAGCACTGAAGAGGCTCATTACTCATGCACCCTTTTCTCCTTTTGAGTCCATTCTTGATTCCTCCCAACCTGAGATAGGAAAACTAGGGAAAGGGAAAGGAAATGGACCATACCTTTGGTTGATCAATTTTGCCTAGGACCACTTGGCCCTAAACCATAGTCAACCCGGTCAAACCTTGGTACTTCCCTTCATAAGTCATAACTAGAGACAAGTAGCATATTTAAGTGGCTTAACATGAAATAAAATGTGCTGGATA